TGTGCCTTTTGTAGAGTCTAGATGTCAAATTATAGGGTCTCTGATTGTTTGAATGGATATAGCCTCAGGTGAGGGACCAAAGCTGGGCCCCTCAGTGCTTTTGTCACCTTGTGACACTGAGATCAACGTGGCAGGAAGGATGTGGAACTGCTGGGGAGGAATAGTTGGAATAATCTGGGCTATGGAAGGTGTTGCTGTCCACGGGACTGGATGATCCTTAAAACCCCTTCCACCCCAAACCATCCTGGGATCTTATTGGGATAAAGTGTTTACGGGGGAATTAGGAGTTGCTGGAAAAGCCCTTTTATAACCCCTCAGCAGCCCAGGAGCCCTGAGAGCTGCCACCTCTGGAGCTCAGGGCTGGTTTCACCCTGTGGGGGCAGGAGAAAGAGTAAAGGCAGAGGATGTGCTGGAACCTCTCCTTTGGGCATTTCCCACCCTCCCCTCCCACGTGCCTTTTAATTCCCTCACTTTTATCGCATTCCCTCCTGAGGGAACCGTGGCCCCCTTGGAACGGGAGCTCTGGAAGCTTCTCCTGAGCATATGGGCAGGTTGAAAGGGAGCAGCTGCTGCAGGAGCAGAGGGCAGAGACGAAGGAGCCTTCGAGGGCCCCTCACTCCGTGAACTTTCCCTTCCAAATCCCATCCTGCGTCACGGAAGTGATTCCTGGCAGACACTTCAAGGGCTGCGCTCGGGGCTCAGCTGGGCATGGAAGGGGGCAAGTTTTCCAGAGGTGCCAAAGGATTTCTCAGGCTTCCATTTTAGTTTGAGTTGTGGTGCCTCCAAAGGATCCTGGGAAAAGGCCCAGGGAAACTGGATGCAGGGAAAGGTGAGGAGAAGCTGTGCTGGGCAGGTGCTGGACCTGGAGGAGGTTTGGCAGATGTGTTTGGATATACTTGGGAACAGGTTGTCCGGAGAAGTTGTGGATGTCCCACAAACCCTGGAAGTGACTGGTTTGGATGGGGCTGGCAGCAAACCGATGTAGTGGGAGGTGTCCCTGCCCATGGCAGGGGATGATCCTTAAAATCCCTCCCAACCCAAACCATCGTGGGATTGGAGGATTCCGTTTGGTGTCCATTATTATCCTGCAGGAGGGACAGAAATCCATGAGGAAGAGAATGAAATCCATGAGGAAGAGAATGAAATCCATGGCAGGGGGTAGCAATTAGAGCACTTCCAAGGTCCCTTCCAAGCCCCTGCCATGGGCATGGACCCCTCCCCTCTCCCTGACCTTTTCCCAGTGGTTTATCTTCCCTCCCAAAGGCTGGATTAGAGCAGGGAAATCCCAGCCTGTCCTTAGGGTTTCCCCAATTCCCTGACTTTGCTGTAAAAATCCAGGTAATCAGTGCCTTATGATTCCTATGGAATTGGTCTGGGGGGGACTTGTCCCTTTGAGTTGCTCTTCCTCACCTGGGAAGTTATGGATCTGCTCCTGCCAGTGGCTCCCAGTGTTTGCCGAGGGCAAACCACACACTTTATATGCAAATGCCCTTTGATATCATTGGCAGACAGAGCAGGCCACTGAAATTAAACTGAAATTAAAATTCCCTTCCCCAAGCCCCCCAGACTGAGCACAAAATGTCCTTGCATTCCACTGCATGTCTTCTCCTGGTGGGGTCTGATTTCCCTTGCATCCTGTCTGAGGTCAGACCAGGATCCTTTATGCCCTGCACTTTGGGGTGATTTGGGATTTCTCCATCTGCAAGTTGTCCAAAACTCCAGGAATTTATTTCTTTAGGAGCTCAGTGCAGCTTTATCCCAGACAGGGAACAAAAGCAAAGGCTGGAACAAAGTCCCCTCTGACCCCTGGTGCCACGAGCCCTCCTCGGAGCTGAGTGGGGCTGGGCTGAGCATCCCACTGTTCCAAAGCCTTGGGAACCATGGCACGGCTTGGAATGGCTTAAGGATCACCCCATCCCACCCCCTGCCATGGGCAGGGACACCTTCCACTATCCCAGGTTGCTCCAAGCCCCATCCAACCTGGCCCGGGACATTCGAGGGATGGAGTTACCACCCACTTGTGAGAGCCAGCAGGTCCCTCCAGAGCTCTGGAAAAGCTGGAATGATGCAGATGGAGCAGAAAATATCTGAGTAGGGCTGCCCAACAATGTGGGGGTTTGTGAGCTCACCCCACAGCAGGACAATGGCATCTTTGTTGGGAATATCCAGACTGGGAAAAGTTGAGTTTGTTTACCCTGATGGTGTTTCACAGCGGTGTCTCCGTAGATATCTGTGCAGGCTTTGGGAATTTCAGGCACTGAATAAAGGGCCCATCTGATCCCAGGAATGACTTTCTCCCCCTCCCCTCCCTCCCTGCCTGTTGTTTGGGGTTTGTTTTCTCAAGTCCTGCTGATATTTGGAGCCAAAAGCTTCCAGAAGAGAAGGGCCTGGGGGATGTGCAGTTTAAAGTTCCCAATCCCTGAGCTAATCCAATCTCCAGGTTTGCTCTGGTTTTGACATAATTCCTACAAGGACAAATGGGATTTTAAGGATCATCTTGTTCCAGATGTCCCAGAGAAGCTGTGGCTACCCCATCCTTGGAATTGTCCAAGGCCAGGTTGGAGCAGCCTGGGATAGTATGAGGTTTCTCTGCCCGTGGCACTGGATGATCCTTGAAATCCCTTCCAACCAAACCATCCATGATTCCACGATTTGTTAAATCCCATCTTTTTGATCATGTATTTCCTGAAAAAAATTCTCAAATCTGCCCATGATGATTTCCTTTTTGTCTGTGTGGTTAAAAGAGGTTGATTTTCCAAATTCTGGAATTCTGTGCAAATAACATCAGTGTCCCAGCTTATAACTCTGGGATAAATCCAAGTCCCTGCAGGATTTTTGCCGTGACTTTGGAGCCACTGGAGTTTCCCATTCCCAATCACCCCCGTGGCAGGACTTGAAGGCACCCCAATAAACCTGGAATTTGGTTTAGGAGCCTACAAACCTTCAGGACCATCCAGTTCCACCCTGTGCCATGGGTAGGGGCTCTTGGAGATCTCTTCCAGCTGTGTGATGATTCCACGAGTTTGAAAAGCTCGGGAAATGTAGGATATTTCCCAAATGCAGCTTTTTCCACAGCTGGAGCTTGTTCTAGGGCTCAAAGATCCATGTCTTCCCCTTCTTTTCTCTGAAGCTGAGGTAAAGCCTTGGGGTTAAACCAAGAGCTCCGTGTTTTTCTCTGCTCAAGGATTCGGGGCTTGGATTTGGGACTTTTCTTGGGAAGCACCAGAGTGGGAGCCGATCCCCACAGATTGTCCTAATGAGGAGTAAAGGGCCTTTTTCCAATTATGGGCAATAACCGGATTAGGCCCCTGTGTTGTGTCAACCTGCCCCGATTCGATTAGGGCCGGAGAAATGGATTTGTCCGTCACAGTTACTTCATTAGGACCCCTCATTGATGGCTTGCAGGGAGTCGGGAGCATTCGGCACCTCTGGAGCACAAACACAGGGAAAACTGGGAGAGGCTGGCACGAGACTCCGGGCATAACGCGTGGCACGCGCCGCTCCTCGTTCTTCCAAGGAGCCCTGGCACATGGGGAAGGAATTCCCGGCTGGGAGGGTGGGGAGGCCCTGGGATGGATTTCCCAGAAGATGGCCCATCCCTGGAAGTGTCCAAGGCCAGCTTGGAATAACCTGGTGTCTGGGAAGTGTCCCTGCGCATGGGACTGGACAGTCCTTAAAATCCTTCCCATTCCACTCCATTCTGTGATTTTTTGCTTCCAAAATAACCCAAACTGCCTGGAGCCCTCCAGGTGCTGGCGGTAGAAGTTCTGCCCATCCCAATCCCTGGGATAACATCCAGTGGTTTTTAGCTCTGCAGAGTGAATTGGCTGTTCCACAACACGGGTGATTTTTAAGTATCCTTCTAATTAACCCTCTGGAATGGTTGAGTGGGTCTGTCAGGGAAATGATCCACAGTTTCTTTCCCTTTTTTTTTTTTCCTGGAGTTTAATTAAATATTTACCTCGGAGTGTCTTGTGCTGTGAACACCTTCATCTGTTCTGGAGATAATGGAATTCCTAACTGAGCGAAAGTGGGAAACTATGAATATGTCAGGATTTGGGTCTTGGAAATCCCCTGGATTCGGTCCCAGCACCTGGAGTTCGAGTGTTCCTCAAATTCCCATTGCTCCCAGAAGCCGGATGGACAGGTGGGAAGGGAGCTGCTGGTGGGTTTTGGCAGGACTTGGAGAAAGTTTTTCCAGACAGAAACACCCAAAATGTGGGTTTTGAATTCCATTAAAGCTCGTGTTTGTGTGTGGAAGAGGCAAGGGATACTGATATTCCATAGGGATGGTGTGGGGACATGGGAGTGAGCTGGGAACGGGCAGTAAGACTGTTTGAAATCCATGTCAATCCAATTTCCTGAGGCTTGGCATAAAAAGGAAGGGATTTGAGCACTTCCAGTGTTTCCATGAGTTTTTCCAGGGAGGTTATGTATTCCCCATCCCTGGAAGTGTCCCAGGCCAGGCTGGAGCAACCTGGGATAGTGAAAGGTGTCTGGGTGGGAACCAGATGATCCTTTAAATGCTTTCCACCCCAATCCCTTCTGTGAAAACCAGAGCAGGAATATTGGGAATGTCCCACTGTATCCACGGATCCAGCACATCCCACCTCCCCTTCCCTGGGTGACCCTCAAGAGTAAAACACACCCCGCCCTTTCACTCTCAGCTTTTCCTGTCGACAGCTGGATGTTACCTGTTTGTCCATCCCTGTTCTGTGCCGGAGATTTGGGTCGGGTTGGAGCTGTGTCAGTGAAGCCACTCCCGAGTGTCAGGAACTCAGTGCCGTGCTGGAATTGTGCCGCTCCAACCCCCGTTCCTGAGGGTCCAGCTCGTTCCCGCCGTGCATTTCAATGAGTTAATTGGAGCTGCGGGTCAGGAGCCGCTTCCCGGCCCCCGGTTCTTAATTAAAGGCACCGGGAGATTAATTTGAAGCATTAATTTAAAAGTGCCGGCACAAAAGGAAGGAATTATTGCCACTAAAGAACTTCCTTGTCCCCAGATGTAGAAGACAGAACCAGCTCAGGGTCCTGGGGGAATGCAGGACATCCGAGTCCATCCCGGGTAAGTACATCTAATCTCCCTCCCTCAGCATGGAAACGTGCAATCTCCAGGAAAAACCGGCCTGGCCACTCGGCTGCTCATTAAAAGACCTTTTCGTGAGCCTTTTAATATTCAAACCTGAGCCTGGGCTCGGATTTGGAACCTTCTCCAGTGTCACCTGCAGTGATAACTGGAGCATCCTGGGCCCTGGGAAAGTGTCCCTGCCCGCCCATGGGATGATCTGGAATGTCCCTTCCATCCCGAGCCATCCCATGATTTTTAGGGATATTAATTAACCCTTTATTGCTGGGATCCCTCAGCCCCGGCCCCACTCGAGCACAGCTGGAGCACAGGCTGTTTCCCAGGGTTTCACCCTTTGCACTGGGATTTTTAGGGTTTGGGAGTGTCCCCAAGCCTGAGGGGAGGGCCAGCCCCCATCCCTGTGCCAGGACTTACGTTCCATGGCCATCCCTGGCCATTCCGTGGCCACCCCTGGGCATTCCATGACCACTGACCTTCCTGCCCCTGTTCCCAGCTGCAGTATCCCAGCTCTGCCCCTTCTGCCCCTGTTCCTAATGGAGCATTCCAGCTTTTCCTTTCCTCCAGTCTGGGCATGGCTGGTGCCTCAGCTCTGCGCTGCTCGTTCCCTGCTTATCCCCCTTTATTCCCTCCAAACACAAAGAAAACACTCAGGGTGGGCAAAAAGTGGCTTCTCTCTTCCTTGTGCCCTGATTTAAATCGGTTTCAATTCCTGTTCTATTGTTTTCCCATTAATTTGAAGGCTCAGGGCTCCGGTGGCTTTGTGCCCTGGAGTGGGGAGGAGCAACAGAATCAGACTCTCCATCCCCTCTCCACCCCCTCTCCATCCCCAATCCAGGGCCTTTCCCTCGGGGCGGCCCAGGGGGATCCCTGTTTTCCGCATCCCTCGGAGGGGAGGAATCCCAGCACCTTTTCTTCTCCATCCTGCTTTGCATCCCTGACGTCATTCCCGCCCGGCATGTTGATTTCTCTCCCCTTTTTTCCCCCTTGACACTTGTATTGCTTCCCAGGGAAAAATGTTTTGAAAAGGAAGTTGGGAATTGGCACACACTGATTATTTCTGCCTCCAAACCCCTGAATGAAGTTGGGAGATAGAAAGAAAGGGAGCACGAGCCTGGGAGAAATTCGGGAATTTGAATCAGGGCCGGGCATTAACTGCTGGAATTATTCCGCAAACAGCCTGACCTTGCTTTTCCCTGCTGGAATGGCATTCCCACAGCGGGAGACTCGGCTTCTCCTGACTCTTTCTTCCATATTGTGAGCAGGAGGACCCTTCTGAGAGGGTTTATTGCCCGGCACAGAATTCCAGGAACATCATCCCAGTCCTCTGTTCGGGATTCTCCCCACGGCAAAGTCAATTTGGGGTGAATCAAAACTTTGAAATAGCATAAAAAACTCTCTGGAGCCTGACATGCCAGGGGAAAAAATCTGGGAATGATGCTTCGCAGAACAGGCTTAACATTTAGCAGGGAATGATGGGCTTGGGGCTCAGGGAAACGCTGCTCCAATGTGTGTTTTCTCCTGGTTTCCTGGCAGAACTATGGAGATGGGACTCACTACGATCACATGGCCAGCAGAGACCTCGGCTCCCACGACAATCTCTCTCCTCCCTTTGTCAATTCCAGGATACAAAGTAAGGACATGGAATTTCCTACCTTAATTGGGGGCTGAAAGTGGGATAAATGAAGCAGAAACAAAATCCAGAGGGTTTAAATCTTCCTTAGAAGGGCGAGGACATGGGATATTCCTGATTTTTCATGTTTTGAGGTATAAAAATGTGCTGTGGTGATGCTTACTGTTTTTTATATGCTATATATATATGGAATTGTGTTTTCTTGCTGGACTTGAGATGCAAAATTTGCCTGGAGAGGTAAAAGGTGTTTTCCTGAGGCTCAGCTTTTCCTTGCCCAGTTGGACAGTCTGGGAATGGGATTTTTAAAGCAGAAAAAGCTTTTTGAAAATGCAATAGATAAATAGCAACTAAAGGGAACAAATAGCTCCTGAAGGACACTGGGACTGTTGTTTGGCATGGGATGGATTACTGCCTGCTGGGATCTGGACTCCAAATCCTTGGATCTGAGTGAGGGGGGCCTGGGTGGGCAAGAGACCCAAGGATTGGATCAGGATCTGGATGGGATTGGACCTGGACTGGATCAGTCACGATGGGGAATCCTGGGATCAGTTCCGAGCTCTCCAGGTACAGGACATGGAGGGGCTGGAGCGTATGCAGGGAAGGGAACGAGCTGGGAAGGGCCTGGAGCAGCAGGAGCGGCTGAGGGAGCTGGGGGGGCTCAGCCTGGAGAAAAGGAGGCTCAGAGGGGACTTTCTGGCTCCGCAACTCCCTGATGGATCCAGGGGGGAATTGGGCTCTGCTCCCAGGGAACAAGGGACAGGAGGAGAGGGAATTGCCTCAAGCTGCTTCGGGGGAGGGTCAGGTTGGACATCAGGAGGAATCTCCTCCTCGAAAGGGTGGTCAGGCCTCGGCAGAGGCTGCCCAGGGAGGTGGTGGATCCCCATCCCTGGAGGTGGCACTCAGTACTGTGGGCGGGGATCAGTCCCAGCCTGGACTCCATGGATCCTGGTAGGCTTTTGCACCCTTGGTGCTCCTGGGATAAAGCTTTGGTCATCCCTGCGGGGCCTGAGGAGAGGCTGGGGTTGTTCAGGAGTCACTGCTGGCTCCCGCATTTAATGAAGACTGATAAATGAGGTTGATTAAAGTAAATAGATGATGTCAGAGTGTCCGTAATGCTCCGGCTCGGCCAAGATCCCGCCCCAGTTCCGTCAGGGAACTCACCCGGCTCTGCTTTACAGCCCTGAGCCTGCTCCAAGGAAAACACAGAGCTGGGGCTGCCATAGATCATTCCACAGCCCTCCCAACCGTCCCTCGGCCCACGGGATTGGGAAACCGTTGGGAGTTGTTGAGTGGTGTTGGAGCTTGGAGTGGTTCATGTGGATTCCCGGCCAAGGCACGGTTACGACACTCTGGGAAAGGCTCAGGAGAAGCCAAGAAAAGCAGGGAAATTTCACCACTCCCTCCCTTCCCTTACGCCATGGGGCTGAGGGAGAGCATGGAGAGCCAGGGAAGAGCCCCTGCTGCTGCTTCCCACTTTAACCTTTACCTGCAAACCGGAGAGCCTGGAAGTGCCCTTCCCTCTCCTGCCTGGCTGGGGCTTCCCACAAAATCTCAGCCCTGCCTTTCCCAGTTTTAAGGAAAGCAGTGTTTTCCTTTGGTTTAGGAAATATTTTGTTTATAAAAACGCAGTTGGGGCCACCCGGGGAAGGAATGAAGAAGGATTCAGGATTCCAGAGTTCCTGATAAGGAATTTTGGGAGCATCCTGGTGTTTCTAGAAGGTCCTCCTTAATTCTCTTGGGAGGGGTTTTCCCAGCTGTGGGAGTGGGATGGATGCAGGTGTCCCTCCCGCTCCAGCATTCCCAGGGAACGGGCTGAGAGAGCTTTGAGTGGGAATAGGAACCCATAAGCAGCAGCAGGACAGACGCTGCAGTTACAGATATCTGGAATGGGGTCTGGGACTGTTCCGTGCTCCGGTTGTTGTGTCGGCATTTGGGATTTTAGGAGGAATTTATGCACAGGACTCTCCACTCAGATCAGGCTGTGGCTCCGGCTCTCCTTATTCCAGATGGATTCCCTCATTTCCCTTCCCCTGGCAGTGCTCTGGCCTCTCCCAGGGAAAGCTCCCTGTCAGTTTGGGTGTCAGGATCTGCCTCTGGGTTCCTTTCCATCCTTCCTCCCTTTTCCCTTGGCAGCTGATGCAGGGCCTGACGATCCTCCCTCTTACATTGGTTCCTACTGGTGTGTCCCAGCGGCTCGGCTGGAGTGGCTCCTGCTTTGGGGTGGGGGCTGTGGAATCACGGGATTCAGACTGGAAAAGCCCCCTGGGACCATGGAGTCCACCACTAACCCGTGTCCCCAAGTGTGACACGTCCAGTGTCGCTTCTCACTGCCCCTCCCATTCCCAGGAGTCCTCGCTGGGAATGCTGCTGGTCCTGCTCCTTGGCATACCTTGTTAAAGGGACATTAAATCATTTCCCACTGCTTTTCCACTCTGTCTAACTTCTGGAGCATTTCCCTGCAGGGAAGCTGTTCAAGGCTCCTGGGGGGAATTTGGGACTGTGTTGTGCAGGGCCAGGAGCTGGATTCAGTGATTTGCCTTCGAGTGAGGAGATTCCAGGATCCTGTGATTCCAGGGAGGCTCCAGGTGCTGCTGGATTAGGTGGTGACATCTGGGTGATAATTTGTTGTGATTCTTGTGGTCCTTGTGTGACAGCTGCCGGTTCTTTGGACTTCCATTCCTCTCCTGGCTTTGCCTACCAGGAGTATTTAGGTTTGTGCTTCCAAGGTCTCTGAACATCCCGAGGAGAGCTGGAATTTCATGCAGATTAGGGAAGTTTTGTGCAGATTAGGCCCTGCTTCCAGTTGCTAAATTGTAAGCATCTGGGCAGGAATTTTCCATGCTGGGGCTCTGACTCACCTGGCTCCGTGGTTTTTTCACCTTCTGCAGGACTGGTTTCAACATTCCCTCAAGTGGGATTCCACTTCACCCCGGTGCATTTGGGATTTGCAAGATTGGGAACATTAATTCCCTCACACCACCTCTGTTATGTCAGGTGGCTCCTGCTCTGCAGCTGGAGTGGGGAAGGGGCACCAGGAACCAGGAGGGAAGTGGCAAAAACCGTCCAGGAATTCCAAGGTTGGAAGGGGTTGGAGCACCCTGGGGTGGTGGGAGGTCTCAGCGTTGGAATGAGGTGGCATTTAAGGTTCTTCTAACCCAAACCAGTCTGGAGTTCTGGGAATCGAAAAAGGTCAGGAAAGGCCTTTGGAAACACCAAAACTAGGAATTTCAAGCCCCAGTGTTTCTTCAAAGTGTTTTCCATCATATGGAGCTGATCCAACCCAGCACCAGTTTTAGGAGAATCATGGAATCATGGAATGGTTTGGCTTGGAAGGGACCTTAAAGCCCAGTTTATCCTACCCCCTGCCATGGGCAGGGACACCTTCCACTATCCCAGGTTGCTCCAAACCCTGTCCTACCTGGCCTTGGACACTCCAGGGACACTCCATCCTTGGAGACATTCCAAAGCCATGATTTAATGCTGAGTGGAACCTGGAGAGGTGCTTTAAAATGCTTTGTGGGAATCACAAAGCTGGAAGGAGAAACACATTCCTGCTCCCAAGCAGGAGTTAATAGATTTGTCAGTGCTGCCAGTCAGGATTCCAGGCCCGGCATCCAACTCCAGCCGCTCGACAGTCCGGGAGAAAGGAGATGACAAGGACATCTCCATTTCCTTGGGAAGAGCAGAGATGTGTAAATAGAAACTGTCGGCTCTGGCAATTGAAACATGAGGTTGGCCTGCAGAGTTTGCCGGGAAGTTTACATTCCTTGGGATTTGGGACTCAAACAAGCCAAGTTGTTTTGTGGGACAGCCTGGAGTTGTCCTCTCTGGAGGTAGCAGGAATGGCCTCCTGCCCAGAATCCTGGTCTCCTGTCTGTTATCCCATACTCCTGCCCATAATCCCAGTCTCCTGCCCATAATTCCAGCCCCCTGCCCAGCTCTCCCTTTGTGATGCCAGGTTTGGAGCTGGATTTATTCCCTGGATAGGGAAACAGCTTCTCCAGTGACATGCAGAGGTGCTTTAGTGGTTAAGGAGCTCCTGCCCTTCCCAGGGATTGTTGGAGCTTAGCTTTCCAAGTTTTTGTTGCTGGTGTTGGTGGCAGAGGGAATTTTGAGCTTCCACCTGTCTGGCCATTAAGAGAAACCTGGAAGTGACTTCCTTAAAATATTCATGGAGAGGGAAGAACTCAATCTGGGAAGTGGGACTTTTCCCTGCTCGTGATGGGAGGGGTGGGAATGAGGTGGGATTTAAGGTCCCTTCCAACCCAACCCATTCCAGGATTCTATGAACGAAAAAAAAAAATCAAATAACCATAATTAAAATAATAATAATGTAAAAACAATAATGAAAAATAATAATTTGAAAAGGAATAAAACAACGAATAATTAACAAATTACAAAAAATCTATGCAAAATAAAAACCCAGCACAAAAAACCAGCCAACCAACCAACCAACCAAAGGTTTCTGGGTGAATTCCAGTTCCCTGGAGTTTTCTGGATGAAGTTTCTGTGGCTGGAGTGTTTCTCCCCAAGCCTCACCGGGGGTCCCGGGGCTGTTGTGGGGGACACACTGGGCTGGGATTTGCATTACAGCTGGAAAATGGACATGTGGGAAAATCTGGGAAACAAAACCAATTTGGTGAATTAGTCGGTCATTTCCATAGGCGGTCACGGTCCGTTGGGCAGGGAAAAACAATGGGTTTGTTATGCTCCTGGTTAAAGCCCAGAGTGGCCAACAAAGCCTAGTTTAATTAATAAGCACTCGGAGCCCAGTCCTGCAGTCTGAACTACCCAGCCTGGAGAGGTGGGGAATTAAAGGAGGAGCTGGAGACAGAAAAGCAACTTGTTTTGGGGAGGTTTGGTGGATTCTGCTGGAAAATGATGTATCTGCCGGGGCTGGGGGGGCTGAGCTGTGCTGCCGGTTTAGGTTTAGGCTGAGCTTTGCTCTGTGGTGCTTAAAACTAAGGGCTCCCTGAATTCCTGCAGGGATTTTCCATCTC